ACAAACTTCAAAACGCTACAGAATATTTACTACTGAATATTAATAAGATATTTTTTTACTAAAATTTTTCTTAAATTCTACTCTACAAAATAGCTATCTTAGATTTTTTTTTTACTTTTTATTTAAAATTTTTAAATAATTAATATTTTTAATAAAATATAAAAAATTAATTATTGAGATATAGCTATAGACCTAATGTCTAACTAATATTTAAAAAAAAATCAACTAATAATATTAACTGGACCAAAAGTTATTTAAGTTGTCAGTGAGTGGTGGGCCACCCTGTATACGGGATCGAAAAGTTAAGTTAATTATCAGACAAAAGTAGTGATCGCGAAGATGGTAAAATGTCAACTGTCGATAGGGATATCTTATTATGGCACATTGGCCGTGAATTGCAAAAACTGTTTATGTGTGCTGTCCGCCCTCCTGTTAGTATTGTTGTGAGTCACTGTGTTAACTATATATATATGTGTCTATTAAACGGTACAATGATGTTATGGGAGACAGAGATATGGGCACATGGAAATGTGATCGTATTAAAAGTAAATTATTTATTTCTAAACCAGTCTTTAGTACTAAGACTTCAAATTATAATAAAATTCTCCTTAGAACTACCTGATCGACTCGAGATATAAATAATAGTAATTTTGAAAAACCTGAACTGAGAGTACTTCGTGTTCTTCATTTAATTTTAATTTTCGAGTCTCTGCTGCTTTGACCTCTCTATGTAACTATCTTACACGCTGTAATACTATAACGTACGACGGTCGTTTTCACGGATCGCGGTAAGCGTCGACGCTAAACGAATAAATCCCCGTCCGTAGCGACTATTTTCTCCTAGTCGCGACGACCGGCCGGTATTCGACGGCGTGTCCTACGAAAACACCAATTTCAATCGGTACGCTATTGGAAAAATCGTTTTTCAAAACGTATCTGGGGTCGAGTCAATATATCNTTACTAACTTCTCTTTTTTCTTTCGATCATCTTCTTCTTTTTGTCGAGTAATTTTACGTATTTCAATACCTGTTATCTTCATAATAAATATTATTAATATAATAATTAAATATTCGACGGCGTGTCCTACGAAAACACCAATTTCAATCAGTACGCTATTGGAAAAATCGTTTTTCAAAACGCAACGGGGGTCCAGTCAATATATAAAATATCTAGATGTATCACTCCAAAATAACAATATATTTTAAGTTATATTTAAATAACAATTTGATACGCATAAGAAAAGACTGTTTTAATTTAATAAATAATGTTCAGAAACACATATTATATAAGCCGTGTATGTATATATTTGTGTATGAATTATTTCGCTTACTTATTATGTTATAATCACGTTATTATTCGTAAATACAAGGTGTATTTTAATAATACTACACGCTCATATCGAGAGCGATATAGGATTATTAATTTGAGGATGCCACATTTTTAAAACGATGTTGTATGATCGCACGGCATTGTCGTTAATATGTTTTTAAAATTTTTTAAATTAATTTCTGTTGACTTATAAATATTGTCAAAATGTTTCCCCAGGATATTAAAATATTTATGATTTATGTTTACGATATGATGTGATAAAAATATTTAAAATCAATATTTGTTAATATTAAAATATAAGATAGTATTTTGAAAATCTAATAATTCTACAAATGCTGTATTATTGACAATAATCTAGAAAAACTCATCTGATATTTGACTATAAATTAATTATCTCTAACAACCCCTGAGCTATAGCATATTATGCACCTGCATTCATTGAAAACATACTATATGGTGCCAGATAAAATCGTATCATAGGATCGTGTAATACCACCCTCGAACATGATCCACAATGGCGAGCAAATATTAATCCATCTCTGGCGGATATAAACAGGTCCATGCATTATGCAACACCACCCCAATATACAAAGTACCGCCTCCAAACGAACACACCGACATTTATTAAAACAGGTGACGTAGTGACGTACAAGTGAACTAATGACGTAAAGAGGGAACTGTAGCAAGTAACATGAATCACGTTATTTATTACAAGTAACACGAATGACGTTTTATTTATCACAATAAACATACGGTTTTTACAAATGACGACGTGTCGTCATAAATAATACGTCTTGCCTGCGCCGACGCAACGTCCGAGGTGAAACTTAATTGCTGAACATTTAAAATTTTATTTAATAAAAAATAATCACGTCGGCGGCAATCGTTCTAACATTTATTACGCTTTTCAGATAAAATGTTCAGACCGGGTTCGATGATTTTACTAGCTTTTCTAGTCACCTCTTCTAAAGGTACGTAGAGACGTTAATATTATTTTTCATTTATCTACACCGAATTAATAGTATGGCGTCAAAATGTCAATGTTATTTTTAATTTACGTACACCGGAGGAGTAATCGTAAAATTTAATGTTTTACCATTATTTTAATATTTCAACGTTTATAATTCGTTAAACTACAAGTAATTATACTAATCGTATAATTACAATCGTGATTACAATTATCGAATAATTATTGTTTATAATAGTCAACATTATCGGTTCCCAAATTGATTATAATATATAGAAAACGTATCCCGATTAATCGTAGAACAGAGATGCTGATTACCGATTGAGTAGACGCGCGATTAGAGACCACCGATTGTTGAGTATGCGAAAAGTAAAGTATCTATTATATTAGTATATAAAGTAAAGTATCTCGAATCTAAGATTTACAAAATATAATACATATAAATATATTCTTTTCGTTAGCACTTATGATACGCGAATCGTTTAAATGGGGCTCTAGTCATACGATATACGACACTATTGTATAAAAGGCGGTATTCACTGTTATATACAAGGTGGTGGTATACACTATACGAAGTACACTATTTATACGCGATAAATAGTACTAACGAAATGAAAACATTGAAGTTCAGATCGTCTATTGCGATTATACGATCGATTTATTAATCGTGTATAATTAATTAATTAAACTCGATCCTTAATTACTCAACACTCTGTACATACGAAGTGTTCAATAAAAACGAATGAAAATTTGAATTTATCCCACTTGAACCCCTCTCTCCTGGTGCGGATCCAATAGATAAAGTATGTAATACAGAGAGTGCATCGATTGTATACGGACAGCAATAGTGTTGTGGACGATGTGATCGCGCGTGCAATAGACGAACTGGATTTCGAAATTGTCTTTTAGCGTTGGCGGTGTAAATTTTTTTGATCGCCCGTATAGGAGTAACGCCGTTTATAAACTGCGCGTTCTCCTCTGTTGTTTTGCGTTACGTTTATTCATTTACATTTTCGATAGTCTTATGAAAAATGTGTTTTATCCGAATATGTTTCACAGGAAACTTCCAGTGCCCCGTTTGCCAGCAAACGGATATCGACAACTTTTGCACCATCGACGATTGTGGGCACAATGTTTGCATTATGTGCATTACTAAAATTGTGTGTTCGACAAATCTTACGTGTCCCACGTGCAGTGATGCTATTAAAGGGGTGCTTGGCACAGGTAAAGACAAATAATAAGAATTAAAACGTAATTAATAATAATTATAAATAATTATTAATGATAACGATAATAATAATTCGCCATAGTTTTAGGAAAACCTTTGGCGGGTTAGTCAGTTATTTTGTTAGTATTTAGTCGGTATTGGAAAATAAAATGCCTATCTGTTTCATTGGAGTTTTTTTTTGGAAATATTTCAGTTAAGTACGAAATGGAGCTGTACATTTTAAAAGATATTATCAAGAAAAACAAGGTTGCCGACAACAGGATCATTGCGCGCTGTCTACTGCCGCCGTGGCAAGCCGCCGACCTAAAGATGCTGCAAGATGTCAAAGCGATTGAAGACTCGTACAAATCCATGTCCTCGGCCGTGATTCAGAAGATACGGAGCAACGTCGACGGTTATACGTTCGTGGAGGACGTCAAGGAGCGGCGCAATTTTTTTCGCACTCGGTATAATGACAACGATAGAGAATTAATCACACTGCAGGAGTACTACACGAGAAATAACTACGATCCCTCCAGTGAGTTTCAAAGGCGAGCTTCTGTGTATTGGCTACAGTCTGACGACTCGTCCGATAGCGACGTATGACCGTGCGGTCGACCGAGCAAATAATCTTGTATTTTATCGGAAATAAAAATTTATCTTTCCATTACGTACGTTTTTTTTTCATCCCACGATATCACAGTACATATAATAGTATATCGATATACTATTATAATAATATATAACTATACTGCAAACCCGAGTAGCGATTCGAGTTCGTTCCGGGTTCATCATTTATGGTACGGTAACGACGGTGCCCGACTGGGTTTGAAAGGAAATTCGAATGCGGATTTTAACGCGGGTTGAACTGAGTTGTACAACAGTTCAGCAGGAGTTTGAATAAATCGCAAAACAGTTAACCGCGTGATTTCTGGTAATTTTAGATTAAACGACAATTTTATCTAATAATATCGAATTGGTATTAACACATAATCAAATCGAGTAAATATAAATGTAATAAAGTATAAAAAAAAAAAATGAAAAATTATGTCACCGATAAGTGGTTTGTTCCGTCAAAACGTATTCACGTAACTTATTTATCCTTTTATCATATGGGCTTATTGTGCTCGTTGTACAGATTGTATATTGCTGATAATAAAAAAAAAAAATAAAAGCACTTTTAGTAAAAAGACAATCCGTTCGTACGATTCAATCGTAATGAATACGAATCGACAACAATAGGTAATTTTAATATTAATCAATGACAATAGGTAATTTCAATATAAATCGATACGATTTATCGATTCTATAAGTACGAAACGTGTCAATCGCCGAGGCGTCACGCACCCAAAGAATAACCTCAATCAATTTTGATAGAGAAATTTTATCAAGGGTTTATGATAATGTTTTATTAATACTAACAAAATAATTATTCTTATAAACAATTATTGTTCAAGGCAAGAAAAAAAATTATCATATTGATAAATATATCATAGATTCAATAGTAATGATATATTTATCAAATTGAACAATGAATTT